TGCAAAGGACCTCGAATAACCGGTGTAAAAGTGCTAAAGAGTATCGAAATCTTAAAGGTACGAGGGTAGAAGGTTTGGATGTAAAGTTAAAATGAACAAAGGAGGGGGTATTTATAGTAGTTCAGCAGCGTTTCGCATCCAGGGACGGTCGACTGGCAGCTGACATGCATTTAATGCCATGATGACTTGACTGGCGAGACGTTTCGATTATTTTGTCGTTTCTGTCGCGGTGTATTGAAGTAAGTATCGGAAGCTCGTGTCGTTTCTCGTCGTTTACTCTCCGAAAAATGAGGGGACTATCTGTATACGAGTGAAATCGAGCTCATGGTGTATCCTAGCCTCCGACAAAATAAGCCAGGCTCGAGACATGGCAACAAGGGACCGAAATCGAGCCAAAGTCCCACCGGGCATGACGTCTGCCTTCGAGAATATCGAGGCCATGGTCCCGGAATCGGTCCTAGCCTCGAACGACTTCGAAGAACATTGTCAGACAATCCAGCATAGCTAACAGAAGATCGAAATATCCGTGACCGGTCGAATATTACGGCGGGGATCTCGGCACGTATCGTTAAGGAACCGGCAATCAGTGAATCAGAAGATTTTTACCTTTTATAGAGTTGTACCTAAAATTGGACTCCCCTACTATATAAAGGGGGTCTGATAATTCATGAAACATATTGTAACACGTACTCAAAAACAATTATATTATTATTATTTTTGTCTCCAGCTCTTGTTCTTTTTCATCTCTACCGGTCTTGGTGAGCTCGGTTCGAGAGTGCCTATTTCATTAAGGCTGAAACTATCCAACTCGTATGGTTTGAATTTATTGTCTTTGTTTATTCAATAGCAACTCAATTCATCGTTTTGTACTAAATTAATCCGTGTATTCTTAAAACCACTTATAAATTTAATTGTCATCCGATTTTGAGGGTAAACAATAGACGTCACAAGTCATTATTAACCGAAAGGAATCAAAAACGGATACTTTAAATTTTTAGTTTGCCAACAGCCAACTATCTCTTAGAACATACTTAAGTGATAATTAAGTCTACACAGAACTCTCTTAAATAATTCCTTCAACAAAACAATTACTCTAAAGAAAGAAAAAAGAAATCAAAGAACTGAACATAGAGTTCTAGAGGGACGCAAAAGATAAAAAAAGGGAAACGCCATGCTTCTCGCGCTTAAGTTAATAAATGGGTTTTTATCTTATTAACAAATGAAACAACTAATGATTATCAATGATTAATTCCAACGGATAAGGAAATTCTTAGTCTTTAACTGGCTTCTCTTCTGAAGTAAGAGCTATACAAAGAGTTTGACTATCAAATAAGTTCTATGTTTAATAAATTTTTAATTTTTAAAGTAAAATATGCGTCAAGTATATATATGTAAATATAAATATATAGAACTTTTTCGAATATGTGTCTAATGGTTTGCATAAAAATATTGAATAGAATTTTTGGAAGGTGGCATATGGAGGCATTTCTCATGCCTTTTCTAATTTTTAAGAGGCATAACCTTGTGGTCCCTAAGAGCATATTAAGTAATAGAAAAAAATTTAATCACCTTATTTGAGATGATAAGATAGGATTATCGTAATAAACTAAGCCTTCATAATAGACTAGACCCACATATAGAAAATATGGAATATTAATTAGTCTTCTTTATATGATTAAGCAGATAAAAGAAGAAAAAATAAAGGTTGGTAGTGGGAACAATATTTAAATTCTACGTCGGTCATGGGGATGGTATAAATTTTAGTTTATAGTTTCTGTTGGTTGACTTATTGAACTCAGAGGTCAAAGCTTCTATCTTAAACTTCCAATTAAATTACATAATTATACTCTACTATAATAAAATATTTTTAATTATTTATGAAATAGAGTTAATTAGAAGTACAACTCCATTTGTACTGGTAGGCGATACGTACGTACTTCTAGATTCAATAACTAGGTGACTAATTAAGAGCACAAATTAAACTTTTATTGATGGAAGACAGTATAAAATTTTGACCTTATACCTTACGCGCATAAGAGTTTTTATTCTCTCATAGGAATAAAAAACACTACAATCCCGGGATAGTTTATCCCAACCAAATATGAAATAAACTCATCTCAAATTAATCCGAAGATTAATTATCGTTTATCCTTCATACCAAACGAGCCCTAAAAGAATTTCCAAGCATTAACTATAATCTATGACTTCCTACGTCAGATTATTAATCAAAATTTCTCTATTTTAATTTTGGAATTAGTAATATGGATGTTTTTTAAAATTAATTAGGACTAGGGACTTCTAAGTCCTTCCTATTCTCCAACTCCTTTGGGTTTTGGTTCAGCTTCTTTTTTCATTTTTTTTTTCTTCTTCTTGTTAAATTGTTTCTTTCAACTTGTTATGGCTGCCGGCTTAGGGGAGTTGGAAAAAAGATACTATAAATATAAACTAGCCCATGAAGTTTGTCTTTTGATGGAAAGAATTAAAAAATATATATATTTGCATTTTGATAAGAATAATTGAAGCATTATATTGCACATAGGTATGGTCCATCTGAGGCATTGAATTGTTGTCCACAACTTTGTGTACATCAAATGGAAAACAAGCAATTTGAAAGTTCAAACTAATAGCTAAAATATTTGTAAATTGATATCCCCATTCTCATTTTCCTGAACCTGTAACTCTACAACTCTATGTACGCTTAAATGTTATTTCATGTTTAAAAGCATTCTTAAACTGTAAAAGTTAATTCATGTTAAAGTTGTCCATGCTACCATAGACTAAGCTTTAGTTCCTCTCATTATAAAATATCTATACGTTGGAAACTCGCATAGTTATATTAATTTGTTCTTTCTCATTTTATAATAGCAATAATATTTGAGTCAGTTTGCAAGCAGGTCGACTATTAAGTTTTCTCATATTTCAGATAGGAGGGAAAGAGGAATTTTTCACTTGATCCTTTAAAGGGCTCGATTTGTATGTCCAATATGCAAAAGCCTACTAAGCTATGGCCAATTAATTAATTAAGATACAGAAACCACAAATGAACAAGCGATTGAAGCTCCAATGGAATGTAGATTAAGTGCTTAAAATCGAACTTTTAATTTTTCATTCATAGTTATTAAATAGAGTAAAATCACAACCGAATTTTTAAGGTGTTATGTACCAATGTTGTTATTACGTCTTTCGAATCACTAACAGCTTGTTTGGATGGTTGTTACCTATTGTAATGTATCGTACTATTATTTTAAATACGATATTTGTTTTGATTGTTACTTAAATTTTATTTTATTGTATCGTTAAATCCGTCATTACGTAACGATAAAATGTGTCACTTTATGTAACGACCGATTTGGTGTGGTCGCGTCGTTACCTTGTCTTTTTTCTCTCATCTCGCCCTTCATTATTATTAAATTATTTTATTTTATCCTTTACCCTAACTTTTTATACAATAATTCTACCCCGTATCATAATTTTTCTTTATAATATTACAAGTTTGTTCTTCTTATTGCTGGTGCGTGATATCATGAAATGACGGCAAACGATACAATCTATTCAAATATTATATTCATCAAATAATACAGTACAATATAATTACAATATAATACGATACATTATGAAACGATATGTAATCACCATCTAAACAAGCAGTAAAGTCAAACCCATCTCAATAAATTAAAAAGCTAGTGACTATGATCGAAATCAAACTTAAATTATAAGATAAATTAAAAGCTCTCATTTAAATACCTATTGACCAAAAAACGCCGTCAGAGACTGAACACACCATTTTTTTTTATTGTCATTGGGAATAATATCTTAATCTTGAGTCACAAGTCCTATGAGTTGACTACGCTGCTCTCAACTTTAATTAATTTGAGTCGGTCCAATGCTTTTGCTATAGGCACATTTTGACAACGATGGCTATTTTAATTAGGGCACAGTGATGATTCTTATTCAGTAAATTAAACAACTAATTAACGTGACTCGCTATGCCGACTATCAGTTTATTTTAGAATAATTGTAGTTTACTTTTTCTTTGTCCAATGTTAGTCACTGTACTTACGGTTTTCTTTTTCTTAGGGGAAGAAAAGCTGAAGACGTGGGTTAAGTTACTCCTACAAAAGCATATGAATTATACATATGCAGTTGAAATCAGGTTCAACGACAACTTTAACTGCTTCAAATACTAGAAGTTAGGTCATAGAAAGTAGATTAGATTTGATAATTTTGAGTAATGGAGTTGCCGAAATATAATGTTGTCAACTAATAACTAGCTTAATTGCTAGAAATAATATCATAAAGTTAGGGAGGAAAAAAATGACATCATAGAGAGATCAAACGAAGTGAAAGGGAGGTCATTCAGAACCCACTCGCTCAAGAACAGGGAAGGCGGCTCCAAAGGCCGGTGCCCAGGCAGGAACATGTGTATGGTGGGTTTAAGACATAGGCGGATCCAAAATTTAAACCCAATGGGTTCAACTTTTATGATTTTTAGCGTTAAAACCCATTATATTTTTAAAGTTATTGGTTCATATATACTATTTTGTAATTTTAATAAATTCTTTTATATAAATTTTTATTCCGCGTCGAAAATTATGGGTTTAGTTGAACCCATTCCCAGAACACTACATCCGCCCCTAGAGGGGGGGGAAGCAAAACCAATTCCCCTCTTACTCAAGTGAAAGATGATACCCGCCAGCGACCAATTTAGCATCTCGAGCTGCACAGGGAGGGGCAAGGTCTCAAGCCGAAGTCTTTTCAGAAACCACCTCTCTACCTCCCAGGGTAGGGGTAAGGTCGGCGTACACACCAACTCTTTCATACCCCAATTGTGGAACTCCTTGTTGTTGAGCTGCACGGAGAGTGTATATCCCTCCACTGAAGCAGCAACAATGAAGAAATAGAATAAATAACTACCCCTAGGTCAAGGAAACAATGAGTTCCCATCCTTCCCTTTTTCCTTTTAACCAAACACAGTTAGCATAACCAAAAATTAAACAGGGTGGTACTCAAATCCTTTAAGATTGAACTGATTCTCGCGGTGAACTTGATGTCATACACACAGAAGTGAGTTCCACCAACTACAACAACAATAGAAGTTGGACTTAATTCAATGAGAGCATCTCTCTCACAATAGCTTAATTCAACTGAAAGCACCTAACAAGGGCTTATTTCAATCCACACATTTAAGGCCAGAATTGGCAATGGTTGTTATAAAAATGAGATGTCTCCTCTCCAAATTCAAAATGTTACTCCAATACAGTTCCACCTCAATGAAGCTCTCTGTCCAGATCCATTTCCTAATTGAGGATCAGGTTGAGCTCACAAGAACAAATAGTGGCTTATCACCTAACCTGTCCCGGCCCTGAATTTAAACAAATGTAACAGCAACGTATTAATGAGGGAATAACAAAAATAAATCAGAAAGTCACTAGCATAACATATTGGAGCAAGAACATCAGAAACTTGGGGAAGAAAAGTATATTGACCACTTCTTAGTAGCTCACTTATCGATTATAAAGGAATGAAACTAATTTGGGACAGAAGATTTAGATTTAATCAAAGAAAAATAAAAGGATACATTCACAAGTCCCCATTCACAATATTGGATTCAGAAAATACAGCAGTCAGGTGTGAAACCTCAGAAATATTATCTCATTATGTTAACAATAGAAATCAAGGCATACCTTCAATTCTGGCAACTCAATAAGACATGCACACTCGACCACCTCAACTCCAACACGCTCTGCAAAGAAAACACAAGATTAAAAAAAAAAAATTAAGAAATTGAAACTTCAATGTGACACGATGCCCTCCTCAACTTGTTGGAAGGAAAAAAGGTGGTCAAACATCTCAATAAAACAAATGATTCTCTCTCAGTTATCTAATTGATAGCTTCTGATCTTACTCACCTTGTGTCTGAAGTCAGGGGAGACAAGTCAAGGAGAGAAAAAGGAATTGGAAATAGCGCATGGGGCTTTCAACCCACTGGAATATCTATTTCAGAATAATAGAACTGAATAGAGGTACAGTACCTAGAAGCCTAATTGCAGCAGTTAGGGTCCCTCCAGTTGCGATAAGATCATCTACCACAAGTGCACGTTCACCGGCTTGCACGGCACCTACATGCATCTCAATCTTGTCTGTTCCATACTCCAAAGAATACTCTTCTGAAATAACCTCCCCTAATAAAATGGGAAAAGAAGCAGAGTGAAATGCTTGTAACGGTCCAAATCCAATGCCAAAAGAACTAACATTCGATAATAGCATTGAATTTTATCATGAATCTTGGAGGTTGAGGCAATAAACATTGATAGTTAAAAGTTTTGACCTTCATACAAGCACAGTCATGTAAGACCCAATTATTCTACTTGCTGAACAGTAAATGGTTCTAATCAATTTACCTAGTTAAGAGTCCTTAACTTGATTCTTAAAAGTTTGAACTTGACAATGTATTTGCCATTATTAAGCTGCATCCTGCTTCATGCTTATCTTATGCTCTTATTGTTCATCACAAGTACAACTAATTTACCTCCTGATCATACTATGCTACTGTAACATATGGCATAGGGTCCTACAGTGGCAGGGTATCAGAAGAAGTGCACTAAGCTGGAGTGAGGAAGTTGAATGGGCAATCTTGCATGCAAAAGGAAGGAACTTGCAGGCAGAGGTGTATAGAATGGAATTGGCTGCAGCTGTATACCATATATGGCAGGAACGAAATTGCAGAATTTTCCAGCAGAAGCAGCGGAGTGGTGAAGCTATACTTAAAATGATTGTCCAAGAAGTGCACTGCAGAGGTAGTTTAAGCCCAAGACTAGCTAGACAACTACAGAATCTGAAGTTTTACCCTTAATTTTGTACATGCTTAATTGACAGGAAGTTAAGTAGCATAGTGTGATAGGAGACGTTCACTGAAGTTGGGCCACTTGACCAACTTTGGGGGTTATTAGTTATACTTGTAAATATTTTCCCTGCTAATGAAAAGCTTGTTACCAAAAAAAAAAAATACATATACATACATATATATATATATATAACTAAGTTAACTCATAGGGTGTGTTTGGTATGAAGGAAAAATATTTTTTAATTTTCCCATGTTTGGTTGGCTTAAATGTTTTGGAAAACATTTCTTCATTAACTCATGTTCCTCCAATTGAAAGAATAATANACCCCACCCAACACCACCCTAAATAGAAATATTATTAAGAGAACTTTTTTTTTCATGTTTTAGATAAAGTACTTTCTTTTTTATTTCAACAAAGCGAATATTTTCTTTTGATTATGTAGAAAAAAAAAATTCATTTCAACAAACACATGTACTTTCTTTACATGATGTAGGAAAAATTTCCGCATTCCCACCACCATCCCAACCCCAAAACCACCCTACCCACCACCTACCCTACCCTAAATAGAAATATTATTAAGAGAACTTTCTTTTGTAGACAGAATATTTTCTTTTTCATTTCAACAAAATGAATATTTTATTTTCATGATGTGGAAAAAATATTTTTTTTTATTTCAACAAAACATGTACTTTCTTTACATGGTGTATAAAAAGTATTTTCTTGCATTTCAACAAATTGATTATTTTCTTTTTATGATGTAGAAAACCTATTTTCTTTCATTTCAACAAACCGAGTAATTTCTTTTCATGTCGTAGAAAGAGTACTTTCTTTTTCAACAAAAAAAGAGCATTTTCTTTTTGGTTATGAAGCTCAAATTTCAACGTTGTTCTTGTGTAAAAAAGTAAAGCAACACATTAGTTCCTTTGGGTTTGGGTGAATTTTTAAAAGAATAATTAAATTCTTGAAAAAAATAGAATCCTGAAAACATTGGGTATTGGGGGAGCACAGAAAAAAAAAAATATTTTCTTGCATTTCAACAAATTGAGTATTTTCTTTTTATGATGTAGAAAACGTATTTTCTTTCATTTCAACAAATTGAGTAATTTATTTTCATGTCGTAGAAAGAGTACTTTCTTTTTAAACAAAAAAAGAGTATTTTCTTTTTGGTTATGAAGCTCAACGTTGTTCTTGTGTGAAAAAGTAAAGCAACACATTAGTTCCTTTGAGTTTGGGTGAATTTTTAAAAGAATAATTAAATTCTTGAAGAAAATAGAGTCCTGAAAACATTGGGTATTGGTGGGAGCACAGAAAACATGGGGATTTGGGGGAAGGAGGGGTGAGGATAGTAGCATAAAAAATTATTTTCCTCAAAAATATTTTCTACCATCTAACCAAACACTAGAAAATATTTTCCGGAAAAAGTTTTTCACTCACCAACCAAACAAGGGAAAATAAGTAATAAAACCACTCATTTTCCAGGAAAACATTTTTCTTCGTACCAAACACACCCATAATGATGATATAACTTCCTAAGAGACCATATGTTGGACTGGAAAAGCAAGATGTAAGCTAAGAATATCCCAAGTAAAAAACCAATAATGAGTATGTAGGCTTTTAAGAGCACAAAAGGCACTTATTGCACAATGATTTACATCGAACATGGTACTTGATTACTTGTTTCTTTTTAAAATGTATATTAGCCTTAAATTTTTTGAACTTTCCACGGACTTCAGCTACATTGCATGAGATTCGGTTTCAAGCTTGAACAAATATTCTTTGTTTTCTTTTTCTTCTGATAACAGATAAGTATAAATGTTCCTAGCTGTGATGACATTCTCTTGCTCGCAGGTACACCCATGCTCGAGAAAAAAACAGCAATACATGCAATAAAAACAGTTGTACGGCCAAGGCTGTCTTTCAAAACCACCTATCAGGTTCTAGTTCATTGCTGAGAAAAATACAACTGCTGATGAGATGGAAACGCAGAAAAAAAATAGTGATAAAGCTTACCCGGCAACTTCTTGGGTTTCCTCATGGGGACAAATTTTGCCCCAATGGCCAATGCAATGGGAGGACCAAATATAAAACCTCTTGCTTCAATACCTGAAGTACACCATTACCATAATGTTCAAAGTTCCCCAGAACAAATCAGGCCATTATCATATGCAAGTGCAATATTTTGAGTCAAACAGGCTAAGAAGGAACAACAGAACAGGAAATGCCAATACCGTATCCTNGGGGGGTGTGTTAAGCACGCTTTAAGAAAAAGAAGGTAAAACACAAATAAGCACAGAGATTGTGCTGGGTCTGTACGACATTACAACACAACATTACCCCTCTGGAATTCCGATGAAGTTGAGATCTACAGTTTAGGAGAGTGTATCTCATTCATAACAAGAAAGCAAAACCTAAGAGGGAAGACGAGTGTCTCTTTGTCTTGTATATTTCTTGAACCTAACTATAGTGAAAATTTGAGCTTTATATTGCCTTCTCTCATACTTTTTACCAGCTACACATATGAACTCGAAATTCAATAATCTCTTCACTAATGAACGCATGGACCCATGATTGAGAATGAATATTTTTTTACTTCTTGTGGGCATGCAAAGTAGAAAACCATTCTCTTAAGCAATGTGAAATTTGTTGTAAAAATCACTCATCCATATGTACCAACAAGGTCTAATTTGATCCTTTTTTCTAACAGAAATGACATCTCCACACGTCTATGCACAATTTGGATGTAATGCCCATATCTCTGATATGGGTCGTAACCCCTATTCCAAATTGAAGTCTACTGTTTTTGGTGCATGTTTTTTTCATGAAGATACTTTATGTAGGTTAACATATACATGTATAAAATTGAAAACACATTCTTAAACAACTAAACTTGACCACATAAGAACGCTTAAGGTTCGTTCTAATATCCATCAAATTACAGTTGCATAGCTCATTTAATATTTGCACATGAAGCCAATTGTTGGAGAGTGAGAAAGTTTGGTTATTCTCTATCAGTATTACTAGCGGAGAAAGTGCCCCCCAAGCCCCAGAAAATCAATCAACAAACAATACCTCAAAACAAAAGTTCTTCAGCCCAAATATTTGTATGCCAATAAATTCAAGCCAATATTTGTCTTAAGTACTTATCAGGTGTTCAACCAAATACATGAGTTTGCAGTATAGCAACTCGCAAAATTAGTTATAATAATGTGGTCAAGCTACAAAAAGGATTCATCATCAGTTACAAGAAGAAGCTTTCTTTTTTTTTTATAAAAGTTTACAAATCTGAACCTTATAGTATCTTGCTGAGATAGATAGTCGTCCCACATTGTGTAAGTGCTTTAAAGGGGTTTATAATTATCTTGGGCTATTCCACTACGGTTTGATGCTCAAATTCTGATTAATCTAACTCTAGAAAGCAAATACTTTTTCTTTTCTAAAAGATTTTGCCTATTCTTTTAAAATAAATTTTGAACCTTTTGTGCTTTCTTTTTAAGCTACACATAATAATGCTGACAATAGAGAGCCGGCAACCTAAAAGACCTGCTGCTGTAGTACTTAAAGCAAATACTAGAAGATCTTAAGACCTTAGCTTCTAAAGCTTGAATTTTTTAATCCTTTAAAGTACTAACTTCATAATAGAATAATTCAGCATTTTTAAATTCAGAATCAGAAAAAAAAATTCCCAGATCTTAACAGAGATCAAATAAGCAGAAAACACATTTAAGGAACAAAAAGAGAAGGAAAAAAAAAGGAAAAACCTGCAACGACACTGATGTTTTTGTCCTTGTATCTCTCAACAAACAAATCAATAGTGTACTTAAACGCCTTAGTATCAAGTAACAATGTTGTTATATCCTGAAACATAATCCCTGCAAAAGAAAAAAACACCAAATATTAAAAAAATTCATTCTTTTTCATAACTACAAGCATCAGAAAGTTCGAAAAGGAAGAAGCGGGTACCGGGTTTAGGGAAGTCAGGGATGACCCGAATAGAAGACGAAATCCGAACGATACGATCGTCTTTGAGAATCGGATCATTAGACGCCATATCTGTTGAGCTCACTGGATCTCGGATTCGGGTCGTTTTCAACTCGTGTTCTTCACCGGCTCCGGGTACGGAAGCTCTTTTTGACACAAAGATAGGTGAAAAAACCCGAGTATTTCTAGTGGGAGTGGTGGTTATGGTGGTGAGAGTGGCGGTGGTAGGTGACTTTATATTGACCAAATTGCCCCTGAGAAAATATCTGTTAGTAGTAACTTTTTCTGGGACAAAATTGGCCTTAGTGAATTTGAGAGCAATTTTTTGAGTCAGTGACTCCATAGTGTGGGATTTGTAAAGGAGACGACGTTTTAAATTAGGTATGGTTGGTGGAAATTGATAAACTAAAGGGTAATTTCGTCACATTAAGTGGGGATGGCGCATAGCTTTTTGTTAGTAATTATTATTAACATTGTTATTAAAATAATTATATTGTGGATGTCCATTTATTACTCTGTTATAGAGAAGATTATCCATTTAATACTCTGTTACTCTGTTGAAATTTATCTACAAGCAGTTGATGCAGACAGGTTGCAAGCAGCTCAATAAAATGATTTGCAGCAGCTTTTTATTAAACAGACATGTTGCAAGCAGCTCATACAGACAGCTTACAGCAGCTAAAGAAAAGTCTTGCAGCTGCTTCCTTTTTTCTATAAATAAAGGAGTTTTCAGTTCATTATGTACATAAGTTTGAAGTTTGAATAATATATCAGTTTCTCCCTATACTTGTCTTTACTTTACAGTCTTTATTTTATAACACGTTATCAGCACGAGACTCTGCCATCTCGAGAAAATACTTTGAAAGTATTACAAGTACGAACTTTCTTTTTCTAAATAATGTCAAATCTTTCTAAACTTGAGTTTGTAGCCCTGGATATATCGGACAAAACTACATGTCTTGGGTGCTTGATGCCGTCTTGCAGACACCATCAAAGATAAAAATCAGGCATCAAATCAAGACCGTGCCAAAGCAATGATATTCCTACGCCATCACCTTGATGAGGGCCTAAAAATAGAATATCTTACTGTTAAAGATCCAGTCATACTGTGGAATAATTTGAAAGATGGATATGACCACCTAAAGATGGTCGTTCTTCCACAGACACGTTATGATTGGACTCATCTAAGGCTACAAGATTTTAAATCAATCAGTGAGTATAATTCTGCTATGTTCAGAATTATTTCCCAGTTGAAACTATATGGTGATAATATTACTGATCATGATATGTTGGAGAAAACTTTCACCACTTTTCATGCCTCGAATATGCTCCTGCAGCAGCAATATCGAGAGATGGGATTCAAAAAGTATTATAAACTTATCTCACATCTTCTTGTAGCCGAGCAACATAATGGGCTATTAATAAAAAATCATGAAAGTCGACCTACTGGTTCTTGTCCATTCCCTGAAGTGAATAAGACGAACTTTCACCAAGCTAAGCGTGAAAGAGGACGTGGCCCTAGTCGTGGTTATGGCCGTGGTCGGGGAGGAAACTCTAATCGTGGTAATAATAATGCACCAAAGAACCCTCCTCACCACCAGCAGTGGAAAAGGAAGGAACAAAAGCATGAAGCGGTGCAAGCAGCAAAGCCACAAAATGCATGCTATAGATGTAGAGGAAAAGGGCACTGGTCACGTACATGTCGTACGCCAAAGTACCTGGTTGAATTGTATCAAGCCTCCCTGAAGAAGACAGAGAAAAATGTTGAAGCAAATTTTATTTCTGAAGATAATTTAGACTTCATGCATTTGGATGTGGCTGATTACTTTTCACTCCCAGAAGGAGAAACAAGTCATGTGATCGGTAGTAAATCTGTAGAAATATAAATATTTTAATTTTGGTTGTTTGTAGTAGATAGTATAGTTATGTAATTGTTGTACATAAATAAAAGTTATACTTTGATAATGATATTTACGATAATATATTTTATTTATGCATTTTGAAGAATATGGATAATCCTCAAATTATGTTTGGATCAAAGACCAATCATGAAGATATTTGTATAATTGATAGTGGAACAACTCATGCCATATTCAAGGATCAGAAATACTTTTCTTATTTACATAAGGAAAAAGCAAATGTTTCAACAATTTCTGGTAATATAAGTTTGATTGAAGGTTCCGGAAGAGCCATTATATTTCTGTCTAATGGAACAAAACTTATTATCGGCAATGCATTGTTCTCCTCCAAGTCCCAAAGAAACTTATTGAGTTTTAGAGATATCCTCCGAAATGGGTATCATGTTGAGACAATAGATGAAATGAACGTGGAATATATTTGAATTACAAAGAATATTTTTTGCCACAAATGCATTGTAGAAAAGTTACCAACTTTATCTCATGGCTTATACTATTCAAATATTAGTACAGTTGAAGTACACTCTATCGTAAACCAGAAGTTTGCGGATTCAAATACTTTTGTGCTTTGGCATGGCCGTTTGAGCCATCTTGGATCAATAATGATGAGACGAATTACTGAAAATTCGAGTGGGCATCCATTAAAGAACCTGAAGATTCTTACAAATAATGAATTTTCTTGTGATGCTTATTATCAAGGCAAAATGATCACTAGACCATCACCAATGAAGGTTGGCATTGAATCACCTACCTTTTTAGAATGTATACATGAGGATATATATGGACCTATTCACCCACCAAGTGGGCTGTTTAAATATTTTATGGTCCTAATAGATGCGTCTTCAAGATTGTCTCATGTGTGCCTACTATCATCTTGCAACCTGACGTTTGCAAAGTTATTAGCCCAAATAATTTGATTAAAGGCATAATTCCCAGATTATCATATAAAGGCTATTCGCCTTGATAATGCTGGAGAATTATCATCTCAAGCTTTTGATGATTACTGTCTATCAGTTGGGATAAAAGTTGAACATCTTGTAGCTTATGTTCATACTCAAAATGGCCTTGAAGAGTCATTTACTAAACACCTGCAGTTGATAGCAAAACCACTACTTATGAAAATAAAATTGCCCACTACTGGTTGGGGCCATGCTATCTTGCACGCAACATCACTTATCCGTCTCAGACTGACACGTTATAATAAATATTCTCCGTCACAATTAGTTTTTGGTCATGAATCAAATATTGCTCATCTACGAATTTTTAAATGTGTTGTATATGTGCTAGTAGCACCACCACAGCGCAGTAAGATGGGCCCGCAGAGAAGGTTAGAAATATATGTTGGGTTTGAATCACCCTCTATTATTCGCTATCTTGAACCATTGGCGGGAGATTTATTTACTGCTCGATTTGCAGATTGTCGATTTGATGAAACAAAATTTTATTGTGTGGAAAGTTTCATCATTATCTCACTTTGATCCACGTACCCCTATATGTAATCAGAAGGTCTAGAAGATCATCCATTTACAGAATATAGCAAATCAAATGCCAGACGCATTTACTGATTTGAAAAGGATAACTAAGTCACATATCCCTGCAGAGAATGTGCCTATCCGAATTGATGTCCCAGCAGGACCATCTACTAGCATGAGAGCTAGTGAACCTAAAGCACGCCTGAAGCGTGGTAGACCTTTGGGTTCTAAGGATCGAAATCCTAGAAAAAGAAAATCGACAAATGATCAAAATGATATTATGAAGGGATCTCCTGAAGAGACCCAAGATCTGATTAGTTCTGAGATTCCTGAAGAAATCAATGAACCCGAGACTCAAGTGAGTGAGGAACTTTTAATAAGTTCTACTAGTGATGGGATTAATTTAAATTGATTTGAAATAGTAGTGGATAATATTTTTGCATATAATGTTGCACTTAACATTATGCAAGATAGTGAGAATTTTGAACCCCGATCTGTCGAAGAATGTCGACAAAGATCTGATTGGCCAAAATGGCAAGAGTCAATTCAATCGGAATTGAAGTCACTTGCTAAAAGAGAGGTCTTTGGACTAGTAGTCCAAACACCTGCTGGTATAAAGCCAGTTGGTCATAAATGAGTTTTTGTGTGAAAAAGGAATGATAAAAATGAAGTTGAAAGATACAAGGCTCGCCTTGTTGCACAAGTATTCTCACAACGACTTGGAGTCGATTATGAAGAAATATATTCACCCGTTATGGATGCCATAACGTTTCGATATCTCATCAGTTTAGCCTTACGTGAAAGTCTTGAAATGNGATATGAGTTTGTTTTATGCTAACAAAGATAGTGCAGATCTTGTTGGTTATACAGATGCAAGTTATTTATCTGATCCCCATAAAGCTAGATCTCAAACCGGGTACATGTTTACATGTGGAGGTACTATCATATCATGGCGCTCCACAAAGCAATCTATTATTGCTACTTCTTCAAATCATGCTGAAATAATATCTATTCATGAAGCAAGTAGGGAATGCGTATGGTTGAGATCAATAATTTATTTTATTCGAGAAAAATGTGATTTGGAATGTGAGAAAAGACCCATAATTTTATACGAAGACAATGCTGCATGCATGGCACAATTGAAGGGAGGATTTATAAAAGGAGATATAACGAAGCACATTTCACCAAAATTATTCTATACACACTATCTTCAGAAAAATGATGACATTGATGTACAACAAATCCGTTAAAGTGATAATCCGGCAGATTTATTCACTAAATCTTTGCCAACTTCAACTTTTGAGAAGATAGTATACAAGATTGGAATGCGGAGATTCAAATATTTGAAACAAGGTTTTCATCAGGAGGAGTAAAATACGCGATGTACTATTTTTTCCTTACTAAGATTTTTTCCAATAAAGTTTTCCTTATAAGGTTTTTAATGAGGTAACTAGAAATGCGTATTACTAAATATGTGTACTCTTTTTCCTTTATTAGGATTTTTCCCACTAGGTTTTTCCTAGTAAAGTTTTAACGAGGCATAATACCTTTTAATTAACATCCAAGGGGAGTGTTATGAAAATAATTATATTGTGGATGTCCATTTATTACTCGGCTATAGAAAATCTTCCTGAAGAAGATTATCATTTAGTACTATGTTGAAGTTTATCTACAAGAAGCTGATGCAGGCACGTTGCAAGCAGCTCAATGAAATGATTTGCAG